TTAAAAAAAAGAGAAGGGATTCTAAGCATAATAGCTCTAGCACAACTTCTAAAGGTAAATTTTCNGAAAATTCTCATGAGGTGATAGATCCATGGTAACGTAGTGGGTGCAGGCTACAATGGATTATATCGATGAGTGGTGATTTACCTTGTGAGTCTTGTTGAGGAAGGGATTGTTGGGGCAAACAAGTCCCACATCGGTTGTGAGAAGAAAATAAATTCACCATATAACCTAAGTGGACTATTCCACCCATTACCAATTGATTTTGGGATGGAATCTCACTTGAGCCTGGTGGAATGGGCTTGGGCCTTGAGTAATCGCTCTCAATAATTCCCTAACAACGATGATACCACTAAACGAGCTTTCAGTATATCCATTCCTATGGTATAATCATTCAAGTTGTCAAATATAAAATAATATGATCGGAGGTGAAGTTACAGAAAACATGTAACACAACTGTTATATTAAAGATTGCATAGAGTTGGAGAATATTAAGCACTATTTTGGTAGATTTGGATAAAAATTAATAAAATATTTGGTCAAAAAGTTGTGGAACCTATGAAAATGTGGTTAAAATTGATTGTTGACTCTAACTTATATCGTGTTCGATCGAGCTTAAAATCAAAATTGAAAATATAGCCGTTATTGGATCTCACTCATCTAATAAAAGTCAACAATAACGGCTAGTTTTTCAATTTTAATCCGATTTTAATCTCTATCGAACACGACTTTAAAAATCTGAATTTTAATCAATATCAAATATGGGCTAAATAATTTTGATTATAAATGAGAACTTAAAATAGTTAGTAGTTTGAGGCAATTCATGTAACCGAGTGCGAAAAATTCGAATTAATCTAAATGTATTACTTTGCCCTTGTTTGAACCCATTTTGAGAGGGAAAAAAATGCATTTTTGAATAATGATTTTTAAGGAATGTGTGGTTAAAAATGAAAAAAAAAAATTGATTTACTTGTAATATTATTTAATAGAAAAATGTGTTGTTAAAAATGAGTTTTGAAAAAATAAATTTTAATATAAAATGAGTTTTGAAAAAACGTGTCTTAATAAAATGGGATCAAAATGAGTTTTAAAAAAATGAATTTTTAATATAAAAAAAACAAATAACAGAAATAATTATTCTTCCCAAATCCAGATTACTCAAATTGTGAATCGAAATGAATGAAGTAGAGGTGTCAGGACGGACGGGCCGGCCAGACCCGTGAAAATCTGCCCGGATCGACCCGGAACCGCCGGCCAACCCGTGACCCGAGTGGGCCATTAACAGATCAAGGAGGTGTGACCCACGGGTTTCGGGGGTTGCACCTTCACGGGCCAGTAAACATTTTTTGGTATAAATATGAATTTATCATTTTGTTCAATTCTTAGTTTACATTTAACAAAAAAAATATTTTTTGCTATAAATATGAAAAATTCTATATTTTTATAATTTTATTTATACAATAATACGGGCCAAATCGGAACAAACCGTGACCCACATGGGCTCGACCCAGATAGGTCAGCAAGCGGGCCGGGTTGTAGTTCAAAATTTGTGGGCCGACTTGGAACCGGCCCGAAACCCGTAGCGGACGGACTTTTTTTCACGCGGACCGTTACCGGGCTCATATGTTGGCGGGTCGACTCAACCCGGACCACCCGGATTGATACCTCTAGAATGAAGTTAGCTATGCGGACTATGAAAGACAATGTCGGGAATCTGTATGAAAAATTAGGCCCAACAAAATTTCAACCCGGCCCATATTTACATGATATTTTGGCTAAAATGGCCGTTAAAAACAGAAATTCGGATTAGGCATCAAATCTATCTAATGGTTGTGTGTGTAAATTCAATCCCAGCGCTCCCAACACTTGCTTTTGCTTCAAAATGCAGAACCCAGATAGAAATCAATCAAATGCATGCAAATCTAATCACCACAGGGCAGTTAAAAAATCCGTGTTTGACCACAAAAATAATTCTTGATTTTGCTATTTCAAAGAACAAACCCCTCGTTAATTTTGCAAGATACCTCTTTTTTACTCAAAATTGTAAAGACCCTTTTATTTGGAATTTAATTATTAAATCTTATTCTCATGGTCATGGAAAAGACCCCGAAAATGCCTTCCAAGTGTTAGCTTTAATGCTTGTGAATGGGGTTTTAGTAGATGAGTATTCCTTTTCTTTAGTGTTAAAATCATGTTCAAGGATGAATTTAGTAAAGCAAGGTATGCAGATTCATGGGTTGCTGTCCAAATATGAATTTGGGCTGGATGTGTTTTTGCAGAATTGTTTGATTTGTATGTATATAAAATGCGGGTGTATTCAATTTGGTCGGCAGGTGTTTGATAGGTTGCATCATAAGGATTCTTTTACGTATAACTTGATGATTGATGGGTATGTAAAATGTGGGATGGTGGATTCAGCTCGGCAATTGTTTGATACGGCGCCATCAGAGGCGAAAAATTTAATCACTTGGAATACTCTGATCAGCGGGTATGTGAAATTGGAGAATGGATTTGAAGTTGCTTCTGATTTGTTTGAGAAAATGCCAGAAAGGGACTTGATTTCTTGGAATTTGATGATTGATTGCTGTGTGAAGAAAGGGAAGTTGGAATTGGCTAGTCTTTTGTTTGATAAGATGCCAGAAAGGGATGTCATAAGCTGGGCTACTATGGTTGACGGGTACGCAAAAATAGGCAATGTTGATGTTGCTAGAGGTTTCTTTGATTCTATGCCTCGAAGGGACGTCATCTCCTGCAATGCAATGATGGTTGGGTATGTCAAAAGTGGATGTTGTAAGGAAGCGCTGAAAATCTTTCATGATATGTTAAGTGGGAATTGTTCTGATTTGGCTCCCGATAGTGTGACTTTGTTGACTGCTCTTTCTGCAATTGCTCAATTGGGCTGCATTGATGAGGGGGTTGCAATACATCGTTATATGGAGGACCATGGATTTGTAGTGAGTGGAAAACTTGGTGTTGCCTTGATTGACATGTACGCAAAGTGTGGCAGCATAGAGGAGGCTATGAATGTATTTGAGGATGTTGAAAAGAAAGGTATTGATCATTGGAATACTATTATTGGTGGATTGGCCATTCATGGCCTGGGTGATTTAGCTTTTGGTTTTTTCATGGAGATGGAGAGACTCCATTTAGAACCAGATGACATTACATTTATTGCAGTTTTGAATGCTTGTGGCCATGCTGGACTGGTGAAGGAAGGTGTGCTGTGCTTTGAAATTATGAGAAGATTTCACAAGATGGAGCCTAAGCTCCAGCATTACGGATGCATGGTTGACATCCTTGCCCGGGCAGGGCATGTTAAAGAAGCGACAAGATTTGTCAAGGAAATGCCCATTGAGCCCAATGATGTAGTTTGGCGAACACTGCTAAGTGCATGCACTAACCATGAAAAGTTGAGCATTGGAGAACCAGTTGCTAAGCATCTGATTGGAATAGATTCTTACAATCCAAGCTCTTATATACTTCTATCGAATATGTATGCTCAATTTGGTCTATGGGACAATGTTAGACAGGTTAGGACAATAATGAAAGAAAGGGACCTAAAGAAAGTTCCTGGCTGCAGCTGGATTGAACTCGAGGGCAGTGTTCACGAATTCTTTGTTGGGGATGCAGCACCAAATGGACACTCGGCACTTGGATCAGAGCTCACCTCTTGTAGGCTTTGACGAAGTATTCTCTTCATGCCCCGAAAGTAGCACTAGCTTTCCCCCTCTGTCATGTGTACAATGCACACGAAAGCTAATTGACATGGAAGGCAGCAACATGTGAAGTAAGCAAGTACATGTAAAAGCAATTTGATGGAATATAACAAATTTTTTAAACTTAGGAGTTTGTATTACACATTTATCTTCCATATGTTTGGTCTCTTCATTATTGTGACGCCAACAAATAAAATAACCTGTGATTGCTAACGATAACTGAATAATTGAAAATGTGAATCTCGATTTGCTTCACCAAGCAAGCCAAACACTATCCGAATAATATGAATGGAAGAAGTGTTCCACCTTCACCAGTTGGAGCGATAATTTACCTACTCACATACCACCCTCATCCACCCAATATTTTAGCATCACGGTTGCACTTTTGTCTGAACTGCAGAGCAAACTTCCAAACGTAGAATCTATGGTCAACCAACTCCAATCCTTTCGAAGTTCTTAGCATATTCTTCTTTAAAATGCCTATGTACCAGACCACAGACCAGGAAAAGCAGAACATTATTGTATATAGACAACGCTACGCCATTTTTTTGGAATTGAAGTTGCACCGTAGCACAGCTATTAGTGGTGCTTAATTCACGAGCTACAAAAAAGGTGCTCTTTGTCGTTATTTGTGCTTTCAAACCAAAGCTTGGACTAATGGTCTTCTCAGTGGGATAAGATATTAATTGGCACCAGCTCATTAGAATTATTTTAGATATCTTGGTTTCCACATTCACAGTTCAACAAAAAAGAGAAATGAAAAATTGAAACGCCACAGAAATATTAAGTAGCAATCATGACAATTTCTTCATAAATCATCAAAATGAAGCTTTTAGACAAGGGTGGTGCCTTTTTGTCGTTTTCCCTTGGGTGGGAATGATTCCATGTGAGGCGACATTAAATAATAAATTAAATAGGCTGAATCTCATATCCACACATTTAATTCGACTTTATATTTCACCACACCTCACTTGCCACATCACATCACCTCATCATCACTCCTAAAATAAATAATTTTTGCCTTGGATAAAGCTGTCTTAATTTCCATCATTCATTTCTAAAACTGGTCCATACAGAAAAAATCATGTCAACTGGTCATTCTCCAGTTCCCCATGGAAGATCATATAAAAATTGCATTACAAGTTTAGCAAAATTCCCAGTTTACCACAATAAAACCAAGTCTTCCAAAAACAGAACAAAGAAAAACAGTCTAGGATTTACTAGCAGTTCTTTTCCAGAAATAATACTCAAGTTACATATCCAACATTCCATCATGCATCCGCTTCAGGCAACAAGTGTGCTTGCAGTGGTAGATTCACTGCAAAGGGAAAACAACTAAATGAGTACTTGCAGGAATAATAAGAAAACTAAAGACCAGTTAATTGTATTCTGAACGACGAGGAAAAACGCATGCATTATACGAAAACGGGTAAAAATCAAAAGAAGCCTAGAACAGAAAATTCTTTAATTGATCGATGAACATCACAATATCACAGAGGTTCAGTTCATTTTAAATAACTAGATCAAAATAAAAGCATCAAGAAACGCAATAACATAATGGCAGCAGGTCTCAATGTTTACTATTTCTGCTTGCAACACAAGCCAAAGTTAAGAAAGGAGTTAGAGCCTGTTTGGAACAGATTTTCATTTTCTACAGTATATCAATTCTCATTTTCAACCACACATTCTTCAATAAAATAATATTTTCCATCACATCAATAATTTTTTCTTCTTTTTCAACCACACATTTCCCATCATATCACTATTCAAAAATCAATTCTTTCAGAATTAAAATCTAATTAAAATTGAAAATATAGTCGTTATGGAGTCTCACTCGTCTAATAAAAGTAAACAATAACGACTAATTTTTCAATTTTAATCCGATTTTAATCTCTACCAAACACACTCTTAAGGTCATTTCTGGTAATCGTTTTTCCTAGTTTTTTGACTTGAACTATAATTGGATGCTTTGGCAAATACAACATTGCTGTGATCGAGCTAAATCGCTTGACATCTCTGCATTGGATTTTATACATTTCTATTCAGGTCAATACCATATTTACACTAGCATATTTAACCAATTATTGACAAATCTTTAGCTATAATCAAAATGCAGTCCAAAACATTTGACAAAGCTTGGGAACGAAAACTCATCCAAATAAAATCTCAGAAATGGGAATTGAACTTACTATTTCCAAACAGGTGGAAGCTTCTTTGTCTTTTTGTAGTAGCGAGCAAGCCTGTGAATTCTGCTCTCAACAAGAATCAACCTGAACTTGGAGTCTTTGTCCTTCCTGTTTCTCTCAAGATGCTTGCGAATTGCAACAGCTTTCTTAATGAGGTGGTACAAGTCCTCAGGTATCTCAGGAGCAAGTCCTGGGAATCAGTAACAGTCACAAGGTAATATCTTTATATATCTGTAGAAGACACTTAAATTGCCAAGCCTAAGGTGCAGAAAATTTACCGTGGCCCTTGAGTATCCTCAAAATCTTACTGCCAGTGACACTCTTCACCTGTGCAATTCCATGAGAATCACGAAGAATAACACCAATTTGAGAAGGTGTCAACCCCTTCTTGGCAAACTTACAGATATTGTCTTCCACCTGAATAGAGACAGCTTAAAATATTAGAAACCAAAATTAATAGTCTACAATAAGCCTTGAGATGGAATTGAAGAAAATCTATCAACTGCAACTAAGAGAATGAATGGCCTAATAATTATTATTACGAAACATGCAATTATCAGGAATCACAGAAACATAAAATAGTATAGATAAGGATCATACAAGATTTGAAAATAATATGAAACTAAACAGCACAGTGCAATGGATTATTGTCTTTAATTTTGCAATTTACTGTAAACATCTTTGTTCAAAGTTGAGGTTTGCAGTCTTGTAGCCTGGAGGACACTCAACGCTGTTCAGTAATAATTGCAACCAAAACCACATCAGGCTACAGGCTCATTTTGACACTTGTATCCAAGCAAAATCTAGAATATCGGAACCCCACTTTAAAATTGAAAACAATTATGCTTACAATTGGTCTAATAAATTGCTTCCAAATTAATCTTTGGATACATCAATTCAATTGATACACAACAGTTCTAGCTCAAGTTGTGCCAGTCAAGTCATAACATAGACGAAAGAACAAATTAGTATGACTCAATGTCTCCATCTTAATATTTTTCTCTCTTTTCCCCCATGTATCCTTATATAGTACCCAAACTCAAGTCAAGGGTTATGCCTAGCGAAGAAAAGCTGCACATTTTCCTGCATTACTTTTCAACCTTATGTTATCACATTAGAACTTACTTTTGCAAAGAATTGGGGTCGGTGAGCATCTCCGTATGCAAAATTTTATTTCTACATTTCCATTAATTTCACAGAACTCGTTCGTATAATTTTACTCTGTTAAATTATTACTAAATAATATGGAGATATTGTTGAACTATTACACAACTCCATGGAATTATCAAATTGATGATCGTTGATCCCAGAAGTAAGATACATGACTCCCATATGTACACGTAAGTGTAATAGGATCTACATTTTGTTTCTTTGTCTAAAATAACACACAAATGGTAATAAACATTGTCTCAATAAATACAACCACAAAACTTAGCCGATGGCGCGAAGTGAAAAAGATTATTCTGGATTGTAATTAATAAAAGCAAGGATGAAAGTGCAATTACGTACATCCTGAGAAGAAATCTTGAGCCAGCTCGGTGGAGTCCTCTTGTACGGAAGTGCTGATGCTGAAATACCCTTACTGCATAACATACATTACAAAGAACGAGAAATAATCGTTAAATGGATACATTTTCATGTATGCGTATACGTAACTAGAGAAAGAAAGAGAGGGGACCCTCGGCTGTGCATACGACCCATGACGTCGGCAGTCTTAGAGGAATCAGCGGCTGCGCTTCGAGCTGAACTACGCTTACAAGGGAGAAAAAGCCCTAGAGTGGATATGGAGAATCCGAGGGTTTTTATATAAGAGAAGATATTTGCAAATGAGTCCTTAAGGTCCACCTTATTTCCTTTTTTACCTCTTATATTTTGTATTTTTTTCGTGTCCAGATGCATTAACGATTGTTTAATCATACCTTGTTTACATGGTCTAAATAAAATTAATTTTTCATTAGATTTTAATAAATGTTAATGAAACGAGTTATATTGAAAAGTTGTGTATTTAAAGAAGTATGTGATTGAAATAAATTGTTCACATTGACTTGGATTTTAATTCTGAATCAAACAGACATTAAAGTAAAAATAAATAAAAATGTTAATAACGTGAAATAATTAAGTTCCTGTTTGACTCCCCTTTTTTGGAAGGAAATATACTTTGAAATAGTGATTTTTCAGAGAATGTGTAGTTAAAAATGAAGAAAATGTTTTAGGTTTCGCGTAAAATTATTTTAGAGTGTGTTTGATGCACATTAAAATGGAAAAAATGCATTTTTTGTGATGTGACAGTGAATATGTGGTTGAAAAAGAAGGAAAAATTATTAATGTGATGAAAAATATTATTTTATTGAAGAATATGTGGTTAGAAAAATGAGAATATAGCTCAAACAACGACTTATTGAAAAATGTTTGGTTAAAATTGATTTTTTGTAAAAAAAAAAAAATGGAACCCAACAGAGATTAAACAACTAACATAAATTGGTTTGGTGGATGAAAGATAAAAATAATCAATTCGACATTTGCAAATAATGTGCAATCTAATCTCACCATTCATTCGTGTGAGTTATAATGATCCAATTACCCCGTATTTGATGGTCATTATTGTGTAAAAATGATGATTTGAAATTGTAAATTTTTTTTGAGAATATGCGATTAAAAAGTGATAAATTTTTGGGTTTATGTACGAAATATTTTATTGTGTGAATGTTGTTAAAAATGAGTATGAAAAATAAATTGTTTTATTTTAAAAGGAGTCAAACGGGGGCTTAGTACGACAACTAATTGCTTGTCATTGGAAAGCTAATAAAAGTTAAATTTGTCTCAACTTCTGCCAAATATTTGGATAGGTTCCGACAGTCAAATCATGCAAGTGAATACACCAATTTGTTCTACTCGTTGAGTAGATGATCGTAGTGTATTTAAAATCTCAAAATCAATTACCAATGAATAAGAAATTGTTGTCTAAAGATATGAGGAAAAGAGGGAATTCAACATATAAAACCGTCGCTTGAACTCCGTACTTTGAGCACTCGAGCGGCCAACGGGGTGACCTGAAGAGCTATGTCTCTTCATGAAACATGCTGAATTTTGAGGCGTATTTCTCCTGTCAGAACCCCTCAGACAACCTTGGTGATCTAAATCCATCTCATATTGTATGTATTTATTACATTACACCATATCATTGCACAATTAAAGTTTTTATTGCATAAAAACTCATTCAAAAGTAGAGAAGAAAAATCCAATTTTGAGCTCATTAGTTTATGTAATTTGGAGTGCTCCTATTGCGAAATGTTATATTTGCATCTTGATAGACGAATGTCGAAAAACCTTTAACACCCAATCGGGACATTATTATTTTAAGGATAAAGAATTCAACTCTTATCTCGGCCGTATTTATTTTCATGCATTTCTCATTTCTACCTTACGCATTTGGTAAGTTGAAGTTCAGTTCAGTTCAGTTCTACACACGTAAAAGATATGACCTCAGAAAACGAACTCAACAGATGTCGGGCCCACTCGTGCATGCATATGTCATATCCAGCACGTTAAGGTAGATCTACAGTCGAGATCACACCAAAGATTGGACGTGGGAGAAGTTCAACTACACGAGACGTTTCCATTCGGATTTCGACAGAATTTACGGAACAAGATTTTATCGATGAAAGCAATATTTATAGTTGTAATAAACTGATCCCAGAATAAGATAGGTTGCTTTGAGTATTAAAAGTTTCATTAGTCTTCAATTGTTGCATGGTGGAAGTATTTATAGTGCAACAAATGGCATGGTGACATTTGGATCAAATTACATGTGGTCTCGTCTCCTTGGCCAAAAGATCAAATCCTAGCTATCATATTGACTCTTCTAACTTTACAAAGCATTAAATTCTCTTACATTGACAAGACAAGACTTAAATACAATTTTCACAAAGGTCATATCAATCATTCGAATAAAGATCTTCATCATGAGCAAATCCTTGCAAGTGGGTCGTCTCGAGATGAGGGGCCTTGAATTCAGGTCCTGGATTCGAAGCCCCTCGGGAGTAATTGAGCCTCTGCTGATAACAGGGCCTCGGATAATGGGCCTCGATCTAACGGGGCCTCAGTCTAATAGGGCCTCGGTCTATATAGAAGCAGAGCCTCAACTAAGGTGGTTGATTTTGATGGCCACGTGATCAGGTCCCACAACTTAATTTTGATAGCCACGTGACAGTCCCTAGTGACGAGTCATAACAGTTAATATAATTCATGCTTATAATTTGTGCCCAACCAATATGATTACTAAATCCACTTAATGTAGTGTCATGGCTATGCACAGGTATAATTTCTTGGAATTTATAGGAGATTTGATGCAGATTTGATGTCTATGCTGTTAGTAATTTCATACTGGCACTTTGGCATGTGTGTGGCGTAAACTAAGCCATGATACAACAGTAAAACTGCTCTTTAAACATATAATTCTGCTGAGATGTGTTGTTTCCACGTTTTTATATTTGGTGGAATAAATTATGAACATATTGTTACGAATAATCATACTGACAATACCCACCTGCCAAAAGAAGAGCAATGCTACGCTAACAAGGTAAGTGACAGGATTTAAAAAACATGGAACACGTGTCAACATTTGATTGGGCAATTTGAAAAAAGAAAAAAAAAACAACCAAACAAGCGCTAACACGTAGCACCTATCACCAATTCCGTTAGGGATGGCAAAAAAATTAGACAAACCCGATACCCGTGGGGCCCCACCTCGAACGGTGCGTGAATAACCCGCTTAATTAGATATTCGGGGAAGGAAAGGGTAACGGGTGCCCCGCCCCATTAAAAAAAAAATTTAATTTTTTTCTTTTAGAATTCAATGTTTTAAATGAAAAAAATCATAAAACTTTATTAGTTCTAATAGAAAATAGCAAATAAAATTATTTGTCTAAATCTAATGAATATGGACAATAAAAATAGATTATCAAAAACAAAAAAAAAAATTTAACGGGGCAAGGACCCCACCCCGCCTTAAACGAGTAAGCGGGGCGGGCCCCCTGCCCCGTTGCCATCCCTAATTCCTGTGACTAAACCGAGGTGTTTATCATTCCTGTTGCAGTGGCGTGCTGAATGGGTTTTCTCCCCACCCCTCGCCCCGATGCCATCCCTAATTCTTGTTACTGAGCCTGGGTGTTTATCATTCATGTTGAAGTACGCGTGCTGAAAGGGTTTTCTCCCCGCCCCTCGGCCCGTCCCTAATTCCTATTACTGAGCCTGGGTGTTTATCATTCATGTTACAGTGGCGTACTGAATGGGTTTTTTCCAATCTCATTCTGCAATATAATCACATCCAATTCCCCTGCCATTCTGTAAATCTCTTTTGATAAAGATATTGAAAAGTCCATCGAGCCCTTGAAAATGAAATACGAACAAGTAAGAGGATACTGGGCACAAAAATCAGTTGTCAAACTCAAGTAAAAATTTATACTTCATAAACCCAAAACTAATCAATTTATATGGCAGGATAGTAGTGCACATCTCGATGTGGCCATGCGAAAACTAAATAATACATTTGTTACAAGTGAATTAGAAGAATAGTTCAATCAGCATTAAAGGAAACAAATAGAACAAAAACTGCATGGATCTAAGCTGTCAGGTTGTAGATAGGAAGTAGTATATTAAAGGGCAACAGTGATCTCGAACCAGGGACGGACCCAGCACCTGGCCGGCCTGCGCGGCTGCGCGTGTTGGGATCCGCCGGACCGCAGCCACGCCAGTCGCCAGTTCGGTCGTCTTCTCCAGCCTTTCCTTTTTTTTTTGGTGAAATTGGGCCAATTTCACAATATATATATATATTTAATGTTTTGCAATTGGGCCAATTCGGCCAAGCCCATCCATCATCCTTTTTTTTAATTGGATTGGGCCATTAGTTTTGGCCTAATCCTTAATTATACAATACCAAAATACAAATAATCCCCAAATCCCAATTGGAAAAGTCGATTCTTTACCAATTTCCCAAATTTCTCGAGTCTCGCGCACTCCCTGTCGCTGCCGTCCCTGACCACCACCAGTCCGGTTAGCCCAGTCCGGCCAGCCTGTATCAGTCCGTCGCCGATCAGCGGGTCAGTGGCTACGTTCGTCCTTCCGTGGACAGTTTTCTTGAATTTAAAACGGTAAGTAAACTAGCTTTTAATACATTTTTAAATGTTTATCAGTTTTATGAATTATTTTTCGTTGTTAAGTCATGAAATTTAAGTGTTTATAAGTTTATGAATTATTTTTATAGACCGTGATCGACTGACCGTGAGTCCGTGATGACTCTGTGACTGTGAGTCTGGAGAAGGTAAATGAATTGTGGGGTGTAATTGTGTAAATGTGTAATCTTGATTGCGTTTGTGTTGAACATTTGGGGTGTCAACAGTTCTGAATTTGATGAATTTTTTAGCAATAAAAGTGAAGTGTCATTGTTGGAAACTTGAAGTTGGAGACTTGGAGTCTATTTCATTTTTGGAGTCCATCTATGGAGCTTCTGTTGCAGCCGTTCCTCGGCTGTGGATTAGGTAATTAGGTGTACCTTATACTTCGTTCTTCTGCAAATTGAAAATTGCAATCAGTAAATTGATGAGTAATGCCTGAGCAGCTGAGCTTGATTATCAAATTTGTTATGCATTGTCTTGTCTCTGTCTGATGAGCTTGATTATCAAATTTGTTGTGATTGAGATTTTGGCCCATTTTCCATTTGGGACTTATGAATTATGATCTCAATTCTCAATTCAAATAATGTGTAATATATTTTTTTAATCAATTGAGCTAGAAAA